AACCCAATTGGTTTCTATGCTAACGGTTGAGATATGCTAACGGGTGAACAATTGAGATATGCTCAATTCGCACGTCACCGTACTGTTCGAGCCAGGTTTCTATGCTAACAGTTAAAGAATTTATAACTGCAATATGTAAATCTGATAAGTTTCCACGACCAACACAATTGGTTTCTATGATTTTGTCTATCTATGTTCGATGAAACTGTCATGCGATGTCAAGGACTAATCAACGGATGGTTTGTGTGTCAGTCCGCTAGCACACATGCTCGAGCTTCGAAGAGCTATTGGGAGTCCTCGAGACCTGGACTCCCACTAGTAGGTATGTGAAAAGGTGCTACAATTAGGGGTAAAATATGCAGTAGAAATTACATACTAGGTGAAAACATGAAACAAATTCAAAAAAATGTATTTTGGTCGCTAAAAAAGTTTTAAAACTTGGCATATCCACGGTACATACAAATATGTACTCACACGTAAAAAGTAGGGATGCAAATTTTCTTTTTTAGAAACTAATAGAAAAAATAAATTTAAGAGATGTGTGCATTAGAAGATGAAATTTCTAGGATCACGTCTTCTAGTGCATATGCTGATATGCACCTCAAATTTGTTATTTTTATATAATTTTTTAGTTTGAGTTTGTATCCAACTTTTACATGTGAGTATATATTTATATGCACTATAGATATGCCAAGTTTAAAAAAAAAAGGAATTACAATGAATTTTTAAATTGGTTTTTGTGTTTGCATCTAATATGTAGTTTCCACTATATATTTTGCCACGATCCGGTGTGTCCACCAGAGGCGGCCCTGAGATCTTCAGCAGTTCGTTTCTCAGCAGCACTAACACGTGTTAAGTTGAGTGTTCTTTTTTTGTTTTGTTTTGAAAAGCAGTCGAGTGTTTTTTTTTTGAAACTCAAAAGCAGTCGAGTGTTGATACTACGCAGTCTACGCACTAGTTTGGTTTTTCTGAGCCCGTTGCTCCCTCGTGTCACACTGAAACACACTAGTTTCTTCTGCTCATCAATGGATCGTCCCGCCCAACAACTCGGCTGCCTCTTTCCACCAGTTTGTTTTAGCCCAACTAGACTGAATCCTGTCAAGTGTCGCCATGCCGAAGTTGAGCGTGGTCACCAGATGGGCACCGTCGCCACCACCAGCTTCGTCTCCTCCACCTCCGTCACCGTCGCCAGCCGCCACGCCCCGCTTGATTCCTCGCCGGCGCCCTGCTCTACTATGGCTGCCCTGTCGAGGAACCTGCACGTACGTACTAACTTAGCCACTGTTGCATCAATTCTAGATTTCTAGGGAGCAAAGCAATTGCATTTCACGATCGTTTTAGTTTAGTTGTTATGTTACCGTAGCCGGTCGGTGTGGCAAAGCAGCCTCTTGTTGCCACTCTGCGGGGGGCCGACCTCGTACAAGTCGGCGGCGTCGTCGGGCAGCCGGAGTCGCCTCTTCCTGAAGGCAGCGACGAGCACCCTTGCGGCGGCGTGAGCGGACTGCCCTCGGCCGGCACCCTGTATCGGTAGCACCGTCGGGCGGCGAGGAAGACGGCGAGCGAGGCGGCCAGCACGAGCGTGGCGTCGCCCCAGCCGCGAGGCGCTCCTGCGCGTAGACGACGACGGTGACGCCGAGCAGGATGCCCGCGCAGAGCGCGCAGTTCCACCAGTTGAAGAAGGACATCTTGCGCACCCGCTCCGCCGCCGCGTGCGTCTCGTCGAACTGGTCCGCGTCGAAGCTCTCCAGCGCCGGCTTGTGCCCGCCCGTGCCGACGGAGACAAGGTAGATGCCCGCGAAGAAGAGTGCCTTGTGCAGGCGCGGCGAGTGGGCGGGGTTCAGGACCGGCGCCAGCTGCGCCGTCGCCGTCGCCAGGACCGGTCGGGATTCAGTAGGTAGACGGCGGTGGAGAAGACGACGGTGGAGAACCTGCCGAGGTAGCCGTCGGCGAGGAAGCCGCCGAGCAAGGGCATGAGCATGGTGACGCTCACCCAGTAATTGACATTCTTGGCGGCCACCTTCATCTCCTCGTGCAGCACCTTGGTGAGGTATGTCATCAGGCTCGTGGATAGGCCTGCGTTGCTCAGCCTCTCGCTGAACTCCATCCCTGCGGTGATCCACGGAGGAGTCGTGCACCCACACCTCATCGTCATCATCCCCACCCCTGACACTGAAACTCTTCTCCATCCCGAGTTCCCGACAACCAAACACGAAAACGACGATGTCTCACTCCACGTTATTGGACTGAGGCTGAGAAGAGCGCGGGGGCTGCTTATATAAGGGTCAGGGGGCGGCAGGAGACTGAAGAATCTGAATCTCTCTATATACACACAAATAAACAAATGGATATGGATCGATCTCCAGTTCTCGTCCGACGTCCAGGAGATGTGACTCTCTGCATTCAAGGACTCCGGCAGCAAACTGCGATATATCGGTTGTCCGCTATAACGCATCGCGACTTGAGATTCTCGCGCCGGAAGTCAGAGGTACAATGCATGCAAACGCCAGCCAGCCATCGGCAGCATCTAGCATCCAGGCATCCAGCACCAGCAGGTCACAACGCGCTCAGAAAGCGTCCGCGGCGCCGTGTTGCAATTGCAATTCGCCGGGTGCGTTTCGATCGATCTCTTGCCGGTTGAAAGTGTGACCAACCTCCAACGTTACCATTGCGCAGGTATCCGGCAGCTCCTTTGTATCCGCCCACGCCACCGGCCGTGCCCCTCTGTTTCCCTGCACGAGCTCGAACTGTCGCGGCAAGACGAAGGAAGGGAAGGGAAGGGAAGGGAAGTGAAGGGAAGGGAGGGGAGAGAGAGGAGAGGGCAAGGTGCGCCGCGCGAGGAAGACGCGAGTGTAGGGCTGAAGTCCTGCGGCAAGCCGCTGTCCGCTAGCCACCGACACTATTACAACATTTGCAACACTGATCTACTTTTGAAATATCATGATTAAACATTTACAACATACGTCCGAATACAGATAAAACACTTGAAACATGTGTCTGAAACACTTGAAAAAAACCCCAAAACACTTAAAAAGGTATTGCAAAACATATGCAACATCCAGATAAAACAATTGCAACATATGTGTGAAACATATGCAACATTCAGATAAACACACTTGCAACATACGTCTGAAAAAAATAGATGAAACATTGAAAACAGACGCTTGCAACATACGTGTACAACCATTACAACATATGCAACATTCCGATCTACTTTTGCAACATCCATACTGTCGGATTGTTTTGCTTCGACAATATCCAACAAAGTGATCACGTAGACGGAATCAGATGGTAGCACATGGGACACAAAGATTTATACTGGTTTGGAGCGCGGTGCGCGCTAAACCCTACTCCAGTGGTGCGGCCGCTCTTGTATTCGTATGCTCAATCCCGTGCCTGAGGTCCCTACCCTCCTTTATATAGGCCGGAGAGGTAGGGTAACAGATAAGATAATCGGGCTAGCAGATTGTATTCCTAGTTTGTTACACGATATGCGCAACAGATTGATCCTAGCTATCGTCCAGATACACCCACCTTGAAGCAAACTGATAATTCAAAGAGATTGTTAGTTCTAAAAGGTTAAGGAGGAGGAGTGGTCTTGTTATGGTGATATGAACTTTTATGCGTGTATACATAAATGTACAATACTATAAAGGGGCTCTTGTGTTCTTGCTCCTACTTTGATGTGAAATTGTGATTTTGCCCTCGTTTTTTTAACTTTGTGATTTTGCCCTACACTGTTCACAAGTCAACGCGATTTTACCCCTAGTCAACGGTCAAAACAGGGGTAAATTCGCGAAGACCAGGGGCAAAATCGTGTTGACTTGTGACAGTGAAGGGCAAAATCACAAAGTTAGAAAAACGAGGGTAAAATCATAATTGCACATCTGTGTAAGGGACAAGAACACCATTTTCCCTCTATAAATGCATACCTCGATGATTGCAAACCATCAATGAGAATTTTAGCCATGCGCAAAATTCAATTTGTAATATTAACATTACGAGCATCACGTTTGCATTATCATTTTTGTAACAATACAACACATTTATGCTCAAATTATCAGGGCATTATTTGTTCTGTTGTAGCAAAAAAAAAGATCTATACAGTAGAGTTGGTGAGCCTGCGACGTCGTACTTTCTATGCCTGTGTTAATTCAATGAACTTAACTTTTTGGATTAAATGTCACTTTAATGCCGGTATTTAATTTGACAGTATTATTATCATATCGTGCGATCCGCGTGTTTAGTATAAAAATTTAGTTGTCCCATAACAACGTACGGGCACGCTACCAAGTAAGTAAAAAAACCCGCTCCAATAAGCCTAGATAGAAATATAGCCCTTGTTTAAATTCAGGGCGTAGAGTTTTAGGGTGTCACATCAGATATTGCATGGGATGCTCGGATACTAATAAAAGAAATTACAGAATCCGTTAGTAATGCGCGAGACGAATTTGTTAAGCCTAATCAACCCGTCATTAGCACATGTGTGTACTGTAGCACCATATTATCAAATCATGGATTAATTAGGCTTAAAAGATCCGTCTCGTAAATTAATCGTAAACTATGTAATTGATTATTTTTTCAGTCTATATTTAATATTTCAAACATTCGACGGTACAAGAGGCAGCAGAAGAGAACGTCCGGCCAAGGCTTCAGATCTCGGCCAATCATTGAATGCTATGCGTTCTCCTTGTCGCTCCATCAGGGAAGAAAAAGAAGTACTCCGTACTGAATTTCTGAATTCTGATTAAGTGATGATCTATACTTTTGCTGGAATCATCGAAGGGATGATCGCAAGAACTTTAAACTTCTCGTCTGATTTTATTCATATCATAATCATGGCTCTTGAGCCTGATCAAATTAACACAAATCATAATTACTTTTACAGCGTATGCGATCATCGATCGATCTCTCCTTTAGCGGAAACAAATTCATTATAGTAATATAAAATTCCTCTCGTGTTATCCGGGCAAAAGAGCACGCGCGCATGCGTCAGTGATGACTCAGTTCTTGGGGTCCTGCTGCACCGTCGTGGCAGGGACGCCATCGCTGCCGTGCAAGGACGCGGACGGTGGCGTCCACGGGTTTCCTGGATGACGAGGCCACGGCCACGCCGGCATGGGCGGCGGGTGGAACGGAAACGGCGGCAGCGGCGGCCAGTTGCCCCCCGGGTGCGGCCACGCGGGCACCGGCGGCGGGTGGAACGGGAACGAGGGCAGCGGCGGCCACTTGCCGCCCGGGCCGGGGTGCGGCCACGGGTTGTTCCCTGGGTGCGGCTGCGGGTGCGGCCATGCAGGCAGCGGCGGCGGGTGGAGCGGGAACGGCGGCAGCGGCGGCCAGTGGCCGGTGCCCGGCGGGCGCGGCCACGGGAACGGCCACGGTGGGTTCTGCTGGCCGTGGGGGCTGTCGGCCGCCGGCGCACCTGGTGTGTACGGCTCCGGCGGAGGCGCGGGTGGCGAAACGGCCGGCTCCGGCTCCGGAGGCGCATGGTGCCCGTGGTGCTTGGGCGGCGCCTTCGGGTGGTGGTGCTTCGGCTTGGGTGGTGGCGCTGCCTTCTCGTGGTCCTTGTGCTTGCTCTTCACGTGCTGGCCATGGTGACCCGTCAACGGCGGCGGCGTGGCGACGACAGGGGCGGACTCTGGAGTTCCCACCGCCGGCGGGGCTGCGGCATCTGCAGCCGGCGGCTGCGGCTCTAGCACCGGCACCGCCGCCGGCGCCGGGGCACCGGCCTGTTGGCTGCCTTCCGGTGCGTCGACGAATGAGGAGGAGACCAGCAGCGACCTCGAGGAAGCCGCGCAGCATGACGCGAGCAGCGCGATGGCGAGTGCCACCACGCATGTCATCTTGACGAGTGCTTCCGCCGCATGCGTGGAAGCTCTTCTTGCTGCCATGTTGGCAGATCTCCCTTGGTTTTTACATTGGTGCATGGGGTGGCTATGCTTTATATAGGCTACAATTTGTTAAGTGTTGTGGGTTGGTAAGGTAAAAAAACTATTTACCTGTGGAATTTTAAGCTTCAACTGAGTTTGGTATTAGAACATTTTGTAGTGATCTGCCTTTTTACCTGCTTAGTGCTGAATTCAAATGTTTTACATCGACAATGGGTTGTTGGCCGGTGTGTCCATGATTCGATGAAGGTGACTGGCATTATATGAAAGTTTAGGCAGGAGTCATGTTTTCACTACTCATGGTGGATGTCCATGATCGCTCTTTACCAATGATGTCTTGCATTCACCCGTTAAAAAGATATATGTTCTGTTGTTCAGTGTGTAGCCACATATAGTGTCCATGATAGCCGTAGCAAAGCAAAGTGCCCTGATTTTTTTTTTGTGGTTGTCCTCCTACTATAAGTACCCAAAAAAAGTTTTGCAATCTGATTACAAATGGCTTAGTCCATTCAAACTTTCCATTCTTCCGCGTCCAACCCATAGAATTTTGCGAGACTAACAACAATCTCATAAACTTTAATGTGGCAAGGCATGTGATCTGGTCCACAGCCGACCAGATGCATAAAGGTATCCTTATGTTCACAAGTGTGGTGTTCAGTATTTATGTTCGGAATACATGGATTGTTTGGACAGTTCTAACCCAAAAATTACGAGATAATTTCCATACTTGCTGAGTCATATAGACACTATACAAATAAATCATAGTATTCCAATAAATAGTTTCTTCAAAATAGTTTTTTTTATTCAATCACATATCTTCTCCTATCACCCATCTATCATATTTCTTCCTCACGTAGACATAGTTTTTTTTTATAAGAGACCAGTTCCTTCTCTCTCTCTTCCTTAATTCTAGTGCCACACCACCATTTTACTTTTAGTTGGCATCCTAATGTATAACCTTAGAAACCATCCTAGTTTCTGGGTTAAGACTGCCCTTATAGGCTCTTGATCGGTGAAGTCATTCAATGGTGTAACATGTACCAATGTACCCTAGATTTTTAAGAAACCTTGATTAGTAATTAATTGGTTGTTCATCATTATTTTACCAAACGTTGTACTCCGTAGCTATTAGGCCAGTCTTAATGCAGTGTTTGAATGCACAATTACCAAGAGTGCCACATCAACATTACAAGTGAATGAAACAGTCCATCTTAGTGCATAGTTTCATGTAGTTTCATATGCTAGCCACATCATTTCATTTAATTGTGATATGGCGCTATGATAAAATGTGGCATAGGAAATATATAGCCTTGTAACCGCATAATTTTTTTGTTTATCTTGCGCAGAAGATCCTCGAGAGAACATGAGAATGAAACATTGTTGAAAGGTCCTAAATGGCTAGAGAGGGTGAATAGCCTAATTAAAATTTCTACAAATCACTAGGGCAAAGTGTTAGACAACAATAAGGCGATATTGCAATTTTGCTCTAGCTCTACAAGGTGAAAAGCAAGCCACCTACCGAATGCTAGAAGCTATGATCTCTATATCAAATTCACACAATCACGCAAGCTATGTCACTATTAACAACTACTGAGTTAGGAGAAGCTAGTTACAACTAATTACAAATACACAAATGAATAACTAGCTACACAAGATAAGCAAGCACGCTCTACACAATTTATGCTAGAAATTGAAATGCAAGAAATAGAGCGATATACCGAACCGGATAAGTGTCCAATGAGACAATGGGACACAAGATTTATCCCCACGGTTCGGTTGCTTACCGGCAACTTAGTCCATGTTGTGGCGATACACTCACTTGGAGATTCACGCGCTAATAGGCCTCACACGCCTAACCCAACACTTAGGTGCCGCACAACCAACACAAATGAGGATCCACAAGCCACGAGCAATTTACAAGAGTTACCTTTCGCAATCTCCCGCGGGGAAGGTACAAGAAACCCCTCACAACAACCACGATTAGAGCCGGAGACAATCACCACCCTGCGCTCAACGATCCCGCTGCTCCAAGCTATCTAGGTGGCGGCAACCACCAAGAGTAACAAGAAAATCACAGCAACAACGATCCTCAAGTGCCACTAGATGCCTCAACTCAATGCAAATGCACTTTGGATCACTCCCAACCCACTTAGATGATGAATCAAGCAAGGAGATGAGCGGGAGAAGCTTTCTCAGTTCTAGAGGGATGTATCACATGTAAAAATGGCCAAGAGAGTAAGCCAAGGCCGGCCAAGATGCTTAAATAGAGAGCCAAGCTCTCAACTAGCTGTTTGGCCCCGTGACCGACCGTCGAACCCGGTCTATCAGGACCGTCGGACCATGGTCTCCGGGTCTGAAGCCCTACACTGGCCACTACCACTGCGCCACGTGTCCCATTCAAACAAAGTAGCCGTTGGCGCCTCCAACGGCTCTCTGCCGCATGCCGCCGTCGGACCCACTGTCGGTCATGAATAGTGACGGTCCAACGGGGTGCGAAAGCTACACCGAGAGGTCCAGAAACGTGAAAAACCATCAGACTCGAGTCCGACGCCATCCATCGGACCAAGCCTCGGTTCAACTCTCTCGGTCACCAATCGCGCCTGTAGCTAGGGTTAGTTGTCGGACTGTCGCTCAATGGTCTGGCGACCACCTTGAGCCGAGTTCGACGCTCACGCTATCTCTTTGTTCAGTTAGGGTCGCCCGTCGGACTGGTGGCGCTTGGTCCGATGCCCTACCAACACTACACCATGACACACTTTTCCCCACTATTATCTGTTGGTAAAGGGTTAGTATCGCAGACACTTTATCTGTTGGCAAAAGAATGATCTTTTGGTGTCATCTCATCTGTCGGCAATCATATAGTAAGACTACAAATTATCTGTCGGCGTTTCTCTGATGACTAATAAACTGTCGGCCAAACTCAATAGATAGACTACCTATCGGCATAGCCATAGCCTAGCTACTGGTCATCTGTCGGCCAAGGATATGAGTACGAGTCCATACGAGTCCAGCCTGCACCCAGAGCACATGGCGCCATGACACGGAGCAGAAAAAACGCTTCTCTCTAAAACGAGGAGACGCAGGAAGGAAAATATTGGCCTGGCGCGCGTGGTATTTGCAAACGGCGTCAATGAAAATTTGACTCTGTGCCACACCTTCCCAAGTTCCACCTAAATAAATAAATAAAAATAAAAAGAAAAGAAAAAGAATCACTAATCAGACGCTCAACGCCGCCGCCCGTCCGTCGTAGCAGCCATCCCACGGCCGCGCATGCGTTCCCCGGACTCGCTCGCACATCCCCGATGCCGAGCCCCGGCCGCCACCTGTGCAAGCTCAGCGTTGAGCCCCAGTGCATCGCCACCCACCGAGCTCCGCACGCCTCGCGCCACCGGATTCCAATCCCGTGCTCCCGCCCTCCGCCTTCGCCGTCCTGCCCCTGTCTCTACCAGTGCACTCCGTCGACGCCCGACACGGATCCCCCATCGCCTGTAGTTCCGCGTCGACGCAAGATGTGGCCCATCGGTTGCAGCTCTGGATCTACGCGTAGGATTTGTTAGGGTTTGGAGTTCCAGCGGCTGGCACCAAATCCTCCCGCCACTGCTCGTGCGCTGGGCTCCACTCCAGGTGCTCTCCTTTGTTCCAGGTAAGAGCCCCCCTGCTCCTAGAGGCTGCACTCTCCTCGATTCGGCCCCTTTCACCCGATTCTAGGATTTACAATATCCCTGGATCTGAATAGATCTCTCTTTCCAAGGAGGTATATATGTCATAGAGGATCCTGCTACTGCCTGTGCTCTCGAGAAAGCTGATAATGCACATGGAAAAAACAGAAAATTTAACAAATGGCTTCACTGTAAGTGCGCTTAGCCTTTGTTTTTTCTTGCCCAATGATTTTGGAATTGACTTCCATCCATCAGCATAACCTAAAATTCTAATCAAACTAGAGATTTTATAAAATATAGTTTCCAATTTTCTATCAGCGTGGAAAGGGGCTCTTTTTTCAGCATTGTTTCTGAAAATACTTTGCAGACATTGTCTAAGTAGCGTACCATTGTTTCCCTTGTACTGCAGTGGGTCAAAGAAACTGGTAGACATGAAAAGCTATGTGAAAAGCTTCTTAAGCAAAAGAAAGGACATAAACTTCCAACATTTATACCACCAAAGGTATTCAATTTTCGTCTCAGTTTCCAGTTCAAGTGGAATGTCCTTTATTCCTGTTTGTCTCAGCAGTATGATTTGAACTCTATGAAAGAGATGATAAGGAAAAAAAAACCATGGTTGCTGCTAGGTACTATGGACTATAAGCCATAGTCTTCATGTCTGCAACAAAACAGGTAATGGCCATAGTCATGTCCGCAATAAAACAACTAATGCTTATCCATGTCTATTTATTTTTTTATAGATGCTGATCTCAAATAATTTCAGCCATACGTGGAGTAGATAAACTTTGTGTAATAATATGTTAAGGCCATTAAGGCTAATGGTTGCTGCTGCACTTTTCATGTGTGAAGCATGTTCTGAAATGTACTATCTTAATTTATCCTATATCTTTCAGTTTTAAGTTAATGCTAGATGGGAATCAGGTGTGGGTGGTCATTGCTATGGCTGTCATTGAGTAAAGATCTCAGGAAAAAAAACATCTGAGCAGCTTCAGAAATTTACCACTAGGATTTTTTATATATGTTAGCTTCCCTTAGAAAACAATCTTTAGCCATTATTTTTTAAATCATTGGTTTGGCTGTGGCTGTTTGACATGATTCTGTCTACTGTTCCATGAACTCGAGTCTCAGTAGTTTTGCTAGTGAAAGCTACTTGTATTATCTCTATACAGGTTCTTGTTTTATCTCTGGACATGTTCTGAAATGTAGTATCTTAATTTATCCTCCTGGTGAAAGTTACATTCTTGAGCCTGCTGATGTGTATTGTGATGTTTTCGACTAATCCTGATAGCAGTTTTGGTGTGCATTCCATCATGAAAGTGATGTTGTCATCAATGACTCCACTGC